TACAAACTAAAGAGTGTGAATGAGCTAGTGTCTCTTGTGGAGTGATATACTGCTATGCTGGTGCTGGCAGTGCTAATGACCAGAACATTTGGTTGACAATTGTCTCATATTATATGAACTTATGGAATGTGGCCTGGGGAGGCATTGTTAAGCCTGTTCCTGCAGCACATCTAGGAACTGAGAATGGAAGGTACATACTGTATGTCATATTACAATAGGACATCCAGTGGAGGCAATACTAGACTGGAAGCCTTGTCACAATGGTTCATTCCAGTCTATTGGACCTTGCCAACCTTGGCTCAGACCAAATGGGAGTACTTTGTATATATGACAGTGTGACAGAATCCCCTACTGCAGTGCTCTCAGTGGTGACACCTAGCGGAAATGTAAATCGTGCCATGAGTGTGGTTAAAAAGCTACAAAATGTAATGCTGGGCTGTGTCTTTTCTCTGTTTTGAGAACTGTGAGATGAAAAACAAGTAATGGTTTCTGAAAATATGTCTAAAATTATTGATGTCACTATGTGGCCTGAACTTGAGTGGAATGTTGATAAACCTACATCAGAGGTACCTGACAACGTTCCACTTGTGGTCTTTATTTGGGAGTCGGTTTGAAGTTTCCTCAGTGTCAGAACCAGAAGTTACCCCTAATTATGAAGCATACCATGACCTACTGCATTGAGTACAGAAGAAACAGGAACGATCTGTGGCACAGATGGTGGTTCCCCAGTTGATTACAAGGATTATGTGGGGTCTGGCCAATTCTCATGTGTCAGCAGGGGATAAATATGTAAGGCACTAACTGGCAGGATTATGTTGGCATGTATGTGTCACTTAGGTTTTTCACCTACACTTTACTACAGGTTAGGCTGAGAGAGGGGGCTGAATTAGGGAGTGCGGTCTGTAGTGGGGGTTAGGCTGAGAGGGAGGGGGGTATTGTACAGGAGGAAGTTTTTGTGTTGGGGTTAGGCTGGGAGGGGAGGATTGTACTGGGGGTTGGGCTGGAGGGCAGGAGGTGGGGAGAGGAGTCTGTATATGGGGTTCTGCTGACGGAGAGGCCTGTACTAAGATTTAGGCTGGGAGAGGTGGGTGGAGGAGGGATCTGTACTGGGGTTAGACTGAAAGGAGGAATGTACTTGGGGGTTAGGCTAGAAGGGGAGGTCTGTACTTACAGGGTGGACTGAGAGGGTGATTTACAGCTATTGGTGGAGATCTGTACTGCAGTGGATATGAGCTTTCTGGGGAATTTGTGGGAGAGGGGGGAATTTTTGTGTACAGTGGCCTGTGTGTTACCCACCCCTAACTCCTGCATTCTGTGTGATACAAACTCCTGACCTCTGAAGTCTCTACATTATCCACTTTTGACCCCTTTACTGTCTGTGTTACGCTCATCTGTGCCGTGCATTCTCTGTGTTACGCACATCTGTGCCGTGCATTCTCTGTGTTACGCACATCTGTGCCGTGCATTCTCTGTGTTACGCACATCTGTGCCATGCATTCTCTGTGTTACGCTCATCTGTGCCATGCATTCTCTGTGTTACGCTCATCTGTGCCATGCATTCTCTGTGTTACGCACATCTGTGCCATGCATTCTCTGTGTTACGCTCATCTGTGCCATGCATTCTCTGTGTTACGCACATCTGTGCCATGCATTCTCTGTGTTACGCACATCTGTGCCATGCATTCTCTGTGTTACGCACATCTGTGCCATGCATTCTCTGCGTTACACACATCTGTGCCATGCATTCTCTGCGTTACACACATCTGTGCCATGCATTCTCTGCGTTACACACATCTGTGCCATGCATTCTCTGCGTTACACACATCTGTGCCAGCTGATCAGTGTATTCTGACAGTGGATGAGTCCTTGCTTGTAGGTCCTTAAGTGTGCTGACTCAGCATTTCCACACCAGGAGGGGGGCCAAAAGAGCTGGTCAGCCCCTTTAGGGTCCCCGAAGGTGTAAAGATGACCTCTGCAAAGTATGTGGAGTTTATAACTGACCACTTTCTTCCCTGGTACAGAAGGAAGAACTATGCTTTCCGTAACAAAATCATCTTCATGCATGACAATGCACCATCTCATGCTGTAAAGAATACCTCTGCATCAATGGCTGCTATGGGGATAAAAGGAGAGAAAGTCATGGTGTGGCCTCCATCCTCCCCTGACCTCAATCCTATTGAGAACCTTTGGAGCATCCTCAAGCAAAAGATCTATGAAGGTGGGAGGCAGTTTACATCCAAACAGCAGCTCTGGGAGGCTATTCTGACATCTTGCAAACAAATTCAAGCAGAAACTGTTCAAAAACTCACAAGTTCAATGGATGCAACACTTGTGAAGCTGCTATCAAATAAGGGGTCCTATGTTACAATGTAACGTGACCTGTTAAAATGTTGTTAAAAGTTTGATTGAAATAGCTTTTGATTTCAGTAAATATGCTGCAAACACAACAAATGACAATTTTCAGTTCTTTACAACTAGAGATGAGCGAATTTTTCAAAAATTCGATTCGGCTGATTCGGCGAATTCCAGGAAGAAATTCGATTCGATGCGAATTAATTCGCTACGAAGTTAACTTATAAAAAGGGTTTCTAGGCTTCAGAGAGCCTTTAAATTAGTGCAGAACACTGTACCTTTAATTTAAATGCCCTTGGAGATGAGGAAGGAGAAGGAGAAGGATGAGAAGAAGGAGAAGGAGAAGGATGAGAAGAAGGAGAAGGAGAAGGATGAGAAGAAGGAGAAGGAGAAGGATGAGAAGAAGGAGAAGGAGAAGGATGAGAAGAAGGAGAAGGAGAAGGATGAGAAGAAGGGAGAAGGAGAAGGAGAAGAAGAAGGAGAAGGGAGAAGGATGAGAAGGAAGGAGAAGGAGAAAGGAGAAGGAGAAGGAGAGAAGGATGAGAAGAAGAGAAGGATGAGAAGGAGGATGAGAAGAAGGAGAAGGATGAGAAGAAGGAGAAGGATGAGAAGAAGGAGAAGGATGAGAAGGATGAGAAGAAGGATGAGAAGAAGGAGAAGGATGAGAAGAAGAAGGACAGTTCTGTGACAGTTTCTGTCTATTTCTGACAGTTCTGTGACATTCACTCCATACAGCGGTTTCAACCACTGTATGGAGGGAATGTCCCAGAACTGTCAGAAATAGTCTATTTCTGACAGTTCTGGGACATGTATGGAGTGAATGTCCCAGAACTGTCAGAAATAGTCTATTTCTGACAGTTGTGGGACATTCCCTCCATACAGCGGTTTCAACCGCTGTATGGAGGGAATGTCCCAGAACTGTCATAAATAGTCTATTTCTGACAGTTGTGGGACATTCACTCCATACAGCGGTTTCAACCGCTGTATGGAGGGAATGTCCCAGAACTGTCATAAATAGTCTATTTTTGACAGTTCTGGGACATTCACTCCATACAGCGGTTGAAACATTGTATCTATTTGTTTCCATAAATGGATCCATTTATGGAAACAAATAGATACAATGTTTCAACCGCTGTATGGAGGGAATGTCCCAGAACTGTCAGAAATAGTCTATTTCTGACAGTTGTGGGACATTCACTCCATACAGCGGTTTCAACCGCTGTATGGAGGGAATGTCCCAGAACTGTCAGAAATAGTCTATTTCTGACAGTTCTGGGACATTCACTCCATACAGCGGTTGAAACATTGTATCTATTTGTTTCCATAAATGACATTCTGCAGATACACTTAGAGGAGCTCTGCAGATACACTTTTTGCCGGCTTGGAATTATTCTTATTTTCATCCTACTTCTTCTTCTTCATCCTCATCCTCTTCTTCTTCTGAGGATGAGGATGAAGAAGAAGAAGAAGAAGTAGGATGAAAATAAGATTAATTCCAAGCCGGCAGCAGAGCTTCTCTAAGTGTATCTGCAGAGCTCCTCTAAGTGTATCTGCAGAATAGAGGAACTCTGCACATACACTTTTTGCCGGCTTGGAATTATTCTTATTTTCATCCTACTCTTCTTCTTCTTCTTCCTCATCCTCTTCTTCTTCTTCTGAGGATGAGGATGAAGAAGTAGAAGAAGAAGAAGAAGTAGGATGAAAATAAGAATTCCAAACCGGCAAAAAGTGTATGTGCAGAGTTCCTCTATTTCTGACAGTTCTCTGACAGCTTCTTCACATGTACAGCGGTTGAAACATCTGTATCCTAAATGGAAACTAATAGATACAATGTTTCAACCACTGTACATGTGTTCCTTCTGTCAGAGAACTGTCAGAAATAGCGGAGCTCTCTGCAGGGACACTTTTGCCGGCTGATCGGGAAAAATCCGATTCGCGCACCCGAAGTAGGCAAATATTCGGATTTGACGCGAATCGAATTTTTCCTGAAATTCGTATCGAATTCCGGTTCGCCTGGTTCGATTCGCTCATCTCTATTTACAACCTATAAAGTGTTTTGAAACTTACTGTGCGTAATAATTTGGAACAGTGCATTGTAAGTTTTATATGTTTAAAAAAAAATTCTGTTATCATTAGGAGGTTTGTTCAATAAAATTTGAATTGTACTCTTAATAGTTGATAACATGAGAATTATGCTGACTGTTATTTACATCAATTATTTAGTCATATGAGAAAAATATTATTTGCATAATAATTTGGAACACAGTGTACAGTACATTTGACAATATTCTGACCATTAAACAACCTCAGGGCAAAGAATGATATTGAATTTATGCATATGATACAATGAAAAAATTGTCATAACAACTGCAAGAGATTACAATTGTTACAAAGTCATATTACCAACAGCAGCATATGCAGGACCTACAAGGTGGGGAATCCAAACTTGCTCTAGCTTGTAGTACGTTTGTAACACTTCTTTAAATCACATGCCACTGGCCAAGAGATCTGTTTTGTGATCATATGTAGGGCCCCTTCACATATACACTATATTGCCAAAAGTATTGGGACACCCCTCTATATCAATGGATTCAGCTGTTCCAATCACCTCCATGGCCACAGGTGTATAAAATCAAGTACCTAGGCATGCAGACTGCTTCTACAAACATTTGTGAAAGAGTGGGTCACTCTCAGGAGCTCAGTGAATTCAAGTGTGGTACCAGAATAGGTTGCCATCTGTGCAATAAGTCCATCTGTGAAATTTCCTTGCTACCAAATATTCCACGGTCATCTGTTAGTGGTATTATTACAAAGTGGAAGCAACTGGGAAAATCAGCAACTTGGCCACAAAGTGGTAGGCCACGTAAAATGACAGAGCGGGGTCCGGGCATGCTGAAGTGCACAATGTGCAAAAGTCACCAACTGTCTGTAGAGTCAACAGCTAAAGACCTCCAAACTTCCCATTACCTTCAAATTAGCACAACAACATTGCATAGAGAGCTTCATGGAATGGGTTTTCATGGCCGAGCAGCTGCACTCAAGCCTTACATTACCAAGTGCAATGCAAAGCGTTGGATGCAGTGGTGTAAAGCACGCCGCTTTACCTGTGCAATAAGTCCATCTGTGACATTTCCTTGCTACTAAATATTCCACGGTCAACTGTTAGTGGGATTATAACAAAGTGGAAGCAACTGGGAACAACAGCAACAGAAGTGGCACGCCACATAAAATGCGGGGTCAGCGCATGCTGAAGCACACAGTGCACAGAAGTCGCCAACTGTCTGCAGAGTCAGTAGGTAAAGACCTCCAATTTTCGGGTGGCCTTCATATTAGCATAACAACAGTGCGTAGAGAGCTTCTTGGAATGGGTTTCCATGGCCGAGCAGCTACATCCAAGCTTTACATCATCAAGTGCAATGCAAAGCGTCAGATGCAGTGGTGTAAAGCACGCCACCACTGAACTCTAGAGCAGTGGAGATGTCTTCTCTAAAGTGACGAATCACTCTTCTCTGTCTGGCAATCCAATGGATGTGTCCAGGTTTGGCAGTTGCCAAGAGAACGGTACTTGCCTGACTGCATTGTGCCAAGTGTAAAGTTTGGTGGAGGGGAGATTATGGTGTGGGATTGTTATTTAGGGGTTGGGCTTGGCCTCTTAATTCCAGTGAAGGGAACTCTTAAGACTTCAGCATACCAAGACATTTTGGACAACTTCATGCTCTCAACTTTGTGATAACAGTATGGGGATGGTCCCTTCCTGTTCCAACATGAGTGAGCACCAGTGCACAAAGCAAGGTCCATAAAGACATTGATGAGTGAGTTTGGAGTGGAGGAACTTGACTGGCCTGCACAACCTGACCTCAACCTGATAGAATACCTTTGGGATGAATTAGAGTGGAGACTGCCAGTCAGGCCTTCTCAGCTGACATCAGTGCCTGACCTCACACATGCGCTACTGAAAGAATGGTCAAACACTCCCATAGACACACTCCTAAACCTTGTGGACAGCCTTTCCAGAAAAGTTGAAGATGTTATAGCTGCAAAGGGTGGGCCAACTCCATATTGAACCCTACGGACGAACACTGGGATGCCATTAAAGTTCATGTGCGGGTAAAGGCAAGCGTCCCAATACTTTTGGCAATATAGTGTATGTTTCATTCATGTTCATGCATTGCTTACTGCATTGGGGATTGCATAAGCATGGGCATTGTGGTCTGCTGTAGCACAGGTACAATGGCAGATACTGTATGCCTGCATTGGGATACTACTCTAAATGAATGACACTGTAATGCAATGCACATAGTACTGTGTGCCAACCTGTTTTGTAATGAGCAGTATACTTTTATTGTGCATTACTGCAACACATAGGTGTAAAGACAGCCATTCAGCTGAACTCTGGAGACAGATAAAAAACCTATATAGCCAATATACAGTAGATCCTCTGATGTGTCTTCCAGTGGTTGTAAAAGACAGAAGATTTTTCCTCTGCTTTCTCTTCTCACTGGACATGGAGGCACCAGTGGAAGCCATTGGCTACAGCTGCTGTCAATCAAATCCTGTCAGGAGGGGGGAGGACCAAGCCGCACTGTGTGTGTCAATGGAGTCAGGAGCAAGCCTGCACAAGCAAACAACTTGCTATTGGGGCACACGAAGATGAGGAGAAGAAAGACACGCCAGCAGGGGATCCCAGAAGAGGAGGGTCGGGGCTGTTCTGTGCAAAATCATTTCAGGTAAGTATGACACATGTATTATTAATTAAAAAAAGCGAACCTTTAGAATCACTTTAAAGTGGAACTAAACTAATATGGCCACCCAAAGCTCTTGCCATTGCCATAATGTGTAGAGTCAAAGCCACCTGCTAGAAATTTTTAATAAAGTTATGTTTTGAATAATGTCCTATTATTTGGCTAATATAGGGCACAACCCTAATGGTTGCTAATGTAGTGTTTACTCTGTGCTATTACCCACCTATGTACTATGAGACCAATCACCTACCCACCTAATTGTACTGCTGCATTTGACATCAGCGGAAAGAGGTCTTATTGAAGCCATCAGTACTTTGGAGAAACATTTTAAGCATACGATCTACTGCATACTAATGATCAGACCTGGTTTTGTAGCTCTCCTCTTATTGTCAGTTTAGCCCATATTGGAACAAAATTTCCACTAAAATATTTTATATTTGTCCTTTTTCCAAGTTAAAGTAGGGGCTGGACAGAGAGATGACTTTTACACAGTTCAGCTCGTATTGCAATATATTTAAACCAGGATTCCCTGCTTGTATACAAACAAAGAAGTGTGTTAAGAGTGTATAGCTGTGTACAGAAGGTTATTAAGAAATCTTAAGTGGAAGTTTACTAGTCTCCACTTCAGCAAAGCGGTCTCCACGAGCAGCCTCCCTGGTCACTGACATCTTAGGTCAGTCTTCTTCGGCCATTTTGCCTGTGCCGGGATTCCATCTCTCCTGTGCATGCGTGGGAGTTAATTCATCTCGGCAGATGCAAATTGTACACTGAGCTGTGCATGTGCAATTCAGTGTACATTGCAAATAAACAGGTAGGAATAATTTCATGCAGAAGAGACTAGTAAGTATCTACATTAGAATTCCTGCCTGTTCACAAATGTTTGTTTCTTAAGTAGAGTTTCACTTTTAATGAATATATGCTACAGGCTTCAAGTGGTTGTACTGGGATGATGCCTGCAGTATTTTTTGGCGGCTGGCTTTTTTGTAAAAGCCATCTGAGTGGCTGATTAGCTGCTGGATGGCTTTTACAGGCAGTGGGAAGGGTCGCCCCCCCCCCCCCTTCCTGCCAGTGCCTTTCTGGGATCTCTGTCCTTGCCAAAAATCACGGAACTGAAGCAGGCGCTTTTGCCAGCCTAACAGGACCGGAAGTTCTCCAATGACCTCTATGACACAGAAAACCAGAACCGATGAGTACTATTGTAAACAGCACCACTTTTAAAATGGCACAGTATCTGATCACACCATTCTTCATGTGATCATATGCTTTTAGGGTAGAGGAGAGGTCAAGGGTCTAATAGACCCCTGATCTTGCCATAAAGAGTACCTGTCACTACCTATTACTGTGACAAGGGATGTTTACTTTTCTTGTGACAGCAATAAAACGGATTAAAAAATAAATAAAGAAAGAAACAGTGTTAAAAAAAATGTTTATAATTTTGAATTGCCCCTGTGACCACGTGCAAAGGTGAACGCACGCATATGTAAACGGGATCGCGCCACACAGGTGAGGTATTGTCATGAGTGTCAGAGAGAAAACAATAATTCTATCACCAGACCTCCTCTGTACCTCTCAATTGGTAACCTGTAAAGCAGCGGTTCTCAACCTGTGGGTCATGACCCCTTTGGGGGTTGAACAACCCTTTCACAGGGGTTGTCTAAGACCATCGGAAAACATATATTTCCGATGGTCTTGGGAACCGAGACACCGCTCCTCTATCCGTATCCAGGCGGGCCCGCCCACATGCAGATACGCCCACATACGAGTACCCAGCGTGATGACATCATCACGCCAACCCCATCACATACACCCCATACAAATACAAGTGTGACAGGGTTGGCGCCATAATGTACTTATATGGACCAGTCACACATGTGTAAAGAGCAGCTACTGTGTAGAAAGCAGCTACTGTGTTAAAAGCAGCTACTGTGTTGAAAGCAGCTACTGTGTTGAAGGCAGCAGTATTGAAGTAATTATAATTACTGGGTAAATGTAAAATCATGTACTGTAAAATGATCAACTGCTGCTGCAAAAAAAATATCTGTACCATGGGAACTTAATCTGGATGCTGATCGGTCTTTTTATATTCAGCTGTGGTTGATGTGAATACTGCCCCCTTGTGATAGTAACAGGTATGGAAAAAAGCAACAAATATAATTTTATGGTTGGGGGTCACCACAACATGAGGAACTGTATTAAAGGGTAGCGGCATTAGGAAGGTTGAGAACCACTGCTGTAAAGGCATATAAAGCATCACCTATGGAGATTTTTAAATACTGTAGTTTGGCGCCATTCCACAAGCATGCGCAATTTTAAAACATGACATGTTTAGTATCTAATTACTTGACATAACAACATCTTTCATATTTTACCAAAACATTGGATATTATATTGTGTTCTGTGCAATTAAATTCACGAAAGTCTTTTTTCCCCCCAATAATTGAATTAGAAAAACCGATGCGCAACCGTGTGACATAATAAATTGCAAAACCTAACATTTTATTCTATAGGGCCTCTGCTAAAATAAATGGCAGCCTCCAGCAAGAAGAAATAGGAGCAATGCTTAAGGGAATTTACAGCACACACTAATTTTGGTAACACAATTATTAATGTGGAATGTATATTCCTTGCTAAAAAAAAAAATATTTTATTTTTTATCAAGTTGTTATAGGTAAAGTTCTGCTTTAACAAAAAACCTTGTTGACCAATGTGCAACTTTAGCTGAAAGAACAGTAAGTGGTCTTGCCATGCAAGAACACTTAACTATGTTATCTCACATATACAGTCATGGCCGAAATTGTTGGCACCCTTGATATTTTTCCTGAAAATCAAGTATTTCACACAAAAAAGGTATTGCATTAACACATGTTTTGCTATACACATGTTTTTTTCCCTTTGTATGTATTTGGAACAAATATAAAACAGAGGCAGAAAAGCAAAAATATGACATAATGTCACACAAAACCCCAAAAATGGGCTGGACAAAAGTATTGGCACCCTTAACTTAATATTTGGTTGCACACCCTTTGGAAAACATAACTGAAATCAGTCGCTTCCTATAACCATCAATAAGCTTCTGACACCTCTCACCCGGAATTTTGGACCACTCTTCCTTTGCAAACAGCTCCAGGTCTCTCTTATTGGAAGGACACCTTTTCCCAACAGCAATTTTAAGACTCTCCACAGGTGTTCAATGGGATTTAGATCTGGGCTCATTGCTGGCCACTTCAGAACTCTCCAGCGCTTCTTTGCCATCCATTTCTGAGTGCTTTTTGACGTATGTGGGGTCATTGTCCTGCTGGA